ATCATTTCGAAAACATGCTTTAATATTGAATCTCAGCCTTGGAATTAATAATTCTATTTAAATAATCTATTTGTGTTTCAAAACATTTTTGGCATGAGTTTATTTTAAGTAGGCATAGTTAATAAAAATAAACATTATGATTATATTTTTCTAAGTACAGCCTCCGTTTTTTTTTCAATAATTTTAAAAATAATTTATCATACATGATTGTTTCTACGTTTCACTCAAAATCGATCAATACAAATTTTTAAGAATTTTTATAGTTAAACCACTTTTTGAAGGAATGTAATATCCCATCAGACAGTTTCAAACTTTCAAACAGTTTTTAAATTTTCGAAATCGACGAAAAATGTTGCACTTGTTAAATCAACTTTATTAATTCAATTTCTAATAAGTGTTTATTGAATTTTCTTGATTTAAATCCTTCAAAGCCCTTAAATAAAAAAAAATCCGAATCATAGAAATAATTATAAATAAAAACTAATTAAAAGAATATTAAAAAAAAATCAAAGTTTTAGTTCTTAAAAATAAAAAATAATATTAGCTATTGAAAAAAATTTAAAAAACAATAAACAAAACATTTTTTTGCTACCTTTGAGTCAGAGGTTTCCATGAATGGTTTTCCATTATGAGTCCATTGAATTTGGGGTTCTGGTATACCTGATACTTGGCATTCCAATTTCACTTTTTGGCCGGCTCTTGCCATTGTGTTAGATAGTGGTATTACAAACACTGTTTTTCAGTTGGTTCAAGAGCTGAATTAAATATTATTTTAATAATTTTATCTAGTCCTTAAATGATATATGAAAAACTTACGTTCAACCATCAGATATGCTTGACATTGATCAATACCAGCATCATTTGTGGCTTTGCACATATACAAAGCATGATCTTCAAGAAATACTTCTTCAAATCGCAAAACGGCCTCTCCATTATTATATGTAATTCCATAATCTTTAGAATTGTCTATACACACATCGTTTTTATACCACTGCACTGTAGGTAACGGATTTCCTATCACTTTGCATTCAAACTGAAAGCTTTTACCTTCCATGGCTTTACCTGGTTTCAATAATTCTACAAACTGAGGTGGTTGCAAGAGAGTATTGACATCAGTTTCTCGAACCGATAACGTTGCACATGTGTCTGCAGAACCATAATTATTAATTGCTTTACATCTGAATTTAGCAGAGTCTTCTGTAAACGTTTCTTCTATTGTTAGACTACACTTTCCGTTCTCAAACACTGTTTTATAGTCAGGATTATTTTGTATACTCATACCATCTTTATACCATGTTACGTCAGGTTCAGGATCTCCAACAACTTGGCATTCAAATGTAAATTTACTACCCTCAGGAACTACTGCATCCGTAAGCAATACAGTAAACTCTGGCGCTTTACCTAAATCAACAGTTTGCGATTCAGATGTTGTTGTTTTTACTGTTATTTGTTGAATCATCTCCGATTGCGCTAGTAACTCCGCTTCCAATTTAGCTTTTTCAGCCAAACTTCTATCAACTTCATCACGTTCTATAGCAGCTGCTTTCAAATTATCTATTGCTGTTCTTAAATTGTCTCTCATGGTTTCGAAAGAAGTCATCATGTCGCGATTGGAATTTTGAATCTTATTGAGATGTGAATATCTGCTATCATCATATAAATCTCTTGCAAGTGCAGACATTTTGTTAAGACGTTCGTTTTGTTTATACTCGCCAGAACTTATAAAGTGTTCCATTTCAGATAATAATTTATTAGCATCGTCTTCAGTCTTTATTGTTGCAATTTTACTAGCTACAGTTAATAATAGTTTGTTTCCTTCTCCAAACCAATCGTCGGTCTAAAATAAAGAAAGTTATAAACACAAGCCTTTCACTCACAATTACACATACAGAAAACGTACCTCATCTACCAATTTGAAGTATTGCATACTCAAATCAATGAGCCTTCTGACTTCAGAAACTTCATGTCGAAAACCATTCCAACGGCTACTTAGAGCATCCAAATCACGTTTTATACGTGGGTAATCTTTTGTTTGGTCCGAAAATATTTCATTTGAGGATGAAACGAATCCATCAATTCTATTTTGCAGTAGCTAAAAATCAATATTAATATAAAAGACATTTTAATTAAACATTTAAAATAACTGACAAAAATTATATAATAAAATAAATAAAATATGTGGTATATTATGATTAGGCATACATAATTAACAGTTCTCTTTGATAATTCCTATTATAAACTAGTATTATTCATTCATTTTTATCTCCTACCTCGATCGTTCGTTCGAAATATTCAAACGCCAGTGATGATGCTTTCGCTGTGGCCAAAGTCTCGCCGTATTGTCCTCTAACTGACGCTAGTTGCCTGACCAGATCGTCCAACGTACTATTGATGTCTTTCAAATCTGCATCAAATTGTCCAGTTTCATTGATTCATCGAGAGCCAATTTAGTTGCATTCCAAGAGGCTTCAAAACATGATTTCCTATGTTCAAGCATCGTCAATATCTTCTCAATGTCGTGTTGAGCTGCAAGTTTTGGTTCCTGTTGCCTAATTTTATTTATTACTTCATCACTTTCATTCACAATTAACTTAAACATTTCCATGATTATTTTCTTGGAGGCTTCGTGATCTTTGGCGAAATTTTCGAGGTCAGTTTGTAAATCCACCGGTAATCTATGTTTGCTCTGAATATTTTCAATAGATTTATCCAATTCTGCAACATTTCGCAAGAAGGATATGATAGACTGGACTAATAGTTTGTATTCAGTACTCGTAGTGTTTAATTTTTGTTGCAATTCCTGAAGATTGTTCTTCACTGGCTGCGTTTCATCGAGCAGAGATGTATCTTGAGCGACTAAATCTTCTGTTAAACGAAGTTTAGTTTGTATATCATTCTGAGCTTGTACTATTTCGTTTGTAACCCTTTGCAAGGTACTTTCAGCAAAAGCAACTAATTCACTAGCATTTGATGTAGGGGATGTAAGGACTGGATATATGTTGCTATCTAATTTTGAAATCCAATTAATAACCTAGAATAAAATAATATTGACATAAACATACGAGTATATCTACATACGTAAATTCTGTTTGCACAATATTCTGGGCTAACTTCCAAGAACCACAAATGATATGCTACAAATTTTTATTCGTAGGCGCAATGGAAACGAATTGAGAACATAATTTATTACAATCATAAAATTTAATAATGCGAAACCTATAACTGTAAATTACATAAGTTATTCCAAAAAATATTTTGAATGTTAGGATTATTTTAGATTACAAAATGGTAACATCGTTTCTTAATTAAAATCACATTATATTGCATGTGTTTGCATAAAAAAACTTATAAATACATACATGACAAGCTTATTTTGAAATTGATACTTATTTTTGTGGTATAGAAATGAATAGATACAACATACATTTGTTATTATTATACATAATAAGTAGCATGCGCAAATATTAGTAGAGAAATCTATAAATTCCCTCTCTTACCTGTCTCGTCTGCTCCATGGCGCTCCTCCACTCCTCGTACACCTGTCGGACGGTGGTGATTTGCGTGCGCCAGGTCTCCTGCTGCTCGATAAGCCTGAACTCTCTTCCGGAGAAACCGTTCAGAATTTCGTCGATAAGCGAACAGGCAGTGCCTATCGCCAAATGGCGGTCGCTGACGGCTCGCTGTAATGAAAAACCGTCAAAGCGTTCATGCACGTTCGTGAAATTTAAAATAGATCTGCTGGCAACGGGCGCCAGATACCGACAACGATTTGTAAACATTCGATTCGAGCAGTTGCCGCTGTCGAACCATTCGACACGGTATAAGAAAATTTTATGTTGATTGATGGTGTAAAAACTTTGTTTGAATACAATAGGATTAAAGGAATTATCAAATTTGTTTATTAGCAACTATTATGACTTCAAAATCATTCAAATAAAATTTTAAATAAAACTTCACAGATTAATTCTCCTTAGCTAAATAAGTTAGTAAGATAATTTATTTATTAACCGGTCAATCTATAAATAAAATAAATTTATAATGAAGTAAATAAATTGTAAATTTATTAGTATTATAATATTACCTGCTCTGCAGATCTTTTAAATCCAGTTCCACTGTTTTAAGCTGATCATACATGGGTTTAATAACATTCCACTGTACGTCCATAAGCCTAATCTTATCCTCCATCGAATGCGCCGAAGATCGGACCAACAGTTGATCCAATGTATCGAATTCTGCGCTAAGCTTATCTGCGTCAGTTAGAAATTGTACGAATACTGAAGAGAGATCCAGGCGCAATTCGACCAAAGCTTTAAGAGTAGTCCAATTCTCGTGCAAACTTTCCACCTTTCGATCGACTTCTCTCCGTTGCTCGTCGTCCAGATATTCCAAAATTGGTGGTAATGTCAATAGGAGGGCGTTGATCTCGTTACCCTTTATCTAGAAATAAATAATTCTTTTCAATTTGTACAAATATCAAATAACGATCCATAATTACAAATGAACAAAATTTCATTCAAATGTTAAATACGGAAAAATGGGCTTGTTTGTTTGAATACTTATCAAATAATTATTATCTAACTGCGGTGTTGAATCTATTACAATCAACTATCTAGTTAGTATTTACCTCTAGATTCTTCAATAATTCATGATGGAAGCTATAGAAGTCTTTGGCTGTGGGCAGATCATGTCCCATGTCCCTGCGTTCCTTCAAAGAGATTTCAGATATCGTTCTAAGCCAGGATGAAAGTTCATCTTGTTTTTCCTGGAACGCAAACAACGCCTCGCCGATTTTTCTGTCCGTCCTTCGCATCTCATCGCACTTTCTCCTCAATTCTATCGCTCTGTTCTCGATCTCTTCTAATAAATTTCTGACACCTTGTGATCCCGGATTGTTGACACCACATTCTGTTAACAAATCTCTTCCTTCTCGAATTACGTCCTGCGTAATTTCATCAACAGCATTTGTTATAGTGACCGGAGTGAGACGAGGCAACATTCCTACCAGGTCGTTTTGTCGTACTTCGCGTTCGAAATCATCAAGACGATTTAAAACCTATGAAAATAATTAGTTATAATATTTATATGATGGTACAAATTCAAAATATTCATAATATGTAAATCTTCTTTTAGTATTAGCTTTTGTAACGTATACAACAATTAAAAAATACAATATTTACTTACTTGTCGTCCATTTTCGTAAAATGCTTGCGCTCGTGTCAATAATGTTTCCCTGCTTTCCAAGTCGTTTAAGAAATCTGAACATCCTCCCAAAACACTATAAGCTTTATCACTGGCTTCGCGTCCTGCAAAACAGCCAGATTTTACCAACTGTTCGGTAGCCCTGGTTATTTTAATCGCACGCTCTTGTAATTCTTTAACTTCCTTCAAAAAATTGTTAATATCCACTATCAACATTGACGTTTCATACTCGGATTCACCCAGATAAATATCAGATCCAATTCGTTCTTTATGTTCCCTTATAGCATCTTCCAATTCATGTAAGTCTCTCGCCAACATAGCCAAAGCCAAACATTGCTCCAACCGATTTTTTCTATTTTGCCATGAAATTTCCAAAATTTTCCTCCTATCGTGCATCGCTTCCAACCAGCTTTCAACTTGTTTGATAGCAGATCCAACTGACGGTTTAATTTGTCCTGGCCTAGAATCTAAGGTACCTATATTATTTAAATCTTTTAAATGGTCTAGTAAATGGCCTCCCTCTTGTAGAGCAGCCATAACAGATTCCAAAACCGATCTTCTCAAATCGTGTATTTCAGTGAGAGCTTGTTTAACTGCATCAATTTGAATGGGAAGTTCCTCATCGCGACAAATAATATTAAGGGCTTCCATACGTTGGAGACATTGTTCGAAATTTGTTTGAAAGGTTACACTCAGGTCTAATATTTGTTTTCTGTGTTCTAGGTGATTATTTATGCTCTGCCACGCAGTTCCTAATGATTCGGCCATCGCTGCATAGACCTCTGGTTCCGGACGCTGGGAGGATACTTTCTTATCGACTTGGCGCATTAACTCTTCGACGGGAGTAGCCTTGTTCTGGAAAAAAGAAAAAAGTCAAATTATTCGGTCTCTCATTATCACTACATAAAAATCAATATAATTTAATATTAATTGAAATTTATTAATATAAATTGTATAATATTTGAAAGAAGGTCATTCTTAAATTATATTTTGACTTGTAACTTATCTGATAATAAATAATTTAAAATTTACCTCTTTTTAATTCATAAATGCACTTTTAACTTATATACAAAATTGTTAGCAATGTAGAAAATTCAGTCTAGCATACAATTTTACTTTTTTTACTTATAATTATGATATTAATATTATATAAATGCGATTGAATTTATTTACAGAACATCCAGTAAAGTCATAAATATAAAATAACACCACATATAATAACATAGTTAAACTTAAAAATTATTTCATTAAAATTTTTTTTTTCATTCATATTACTCAAGATATATAACTTACATTAAGATTAAGCCTGAAGCAAACTTCAGTTTTTGGATTAAAATAAGAAACCCTACTGTATTTACTTACATCGCTTTATAAACTTTATGAAAATAAATAATAATTATGGAGCACATCCTCAAATATGATGTATTGACAAGCAAACAAGACAGCCAACATGCTTTTCGCCCACATAAAAACATATAGCGGTATACGCCCTTTCGGATGCAATCTGTAGGCTGTTGCACCCATAAAAGCGTGAAAAAAAGATCACAAAATACAAATACCGTGATTTTTAAAGTCTGCTGAAAAAGTTACTACTTTATTTATTTATAGCCTCGATATAAATCATTTAGTTTTCCTCCTGGAAACAAAAACGACAAAATATAAACGTCGCCCTACTTCGCAAGCAGATATAGCATCTCACAGCGCAAATATCACTTTAATGACTTGCTATAAATCATAAGAAAAGTTTACAAATAAATTTAACGAAGAATTAAATTCAAACATTACTGGAAATCGAAAGTAGTACAAGCTGGCTGTTATTTTTAGTCCATTGAATTCTACACTACTATGCACAGAATTGCGAACGTCGGGCTGCTATGTAAATCAACTTAGGCCCAAGTTGATGATTTTAGTCGTGTGGGCGAAATCAATGCTGGTCCTTTATAGTTGTAAATAAATAAATCTTAGACTTCCGACTTCGATCGCCAAATAAATTATCTCGTAACGGTTTGATCTACTAATAGAAAATAAGAGGAAAACGATTTTTATCTAAACGATAATTAATGGTCATTTCTTACAGCAATGTTTCTATGATACGATTAAAACATTCCAGACAGCAAGTACCTAAAGGGTTTCTTTAAGGAGGGATGTTATCAATTTCATATAGTGACACATTTTTACCTTGAGCTGTCGTAGTACTTCGCTGTGTGCAGTTTGCAATTCGACGGCTTCTTGCAGATCGTTACCGATGCTCGTGAGATCAGGCTGAGCCTCTACCAGTTTAACCGTTATCCATTCACCGCT